GTGTGTGTGTGTTTTGTACATGTATTTGAGATGGACAGACATCCCATCCAGGGTGCCCCCCTCTGCTTTGTGCCCCATGCTGCCTCCCATAGGCTCCAAGCCCCCCATGACCCCGCACAGGAGAAGCTTTGACCACATCCACACAGCACACACTGCATATAGAGATGTTTGTGATACAGAAGTAAAGTGTTCCCTGTCTCACAGACATGTACCCACGTCTCCCTCCCATAGAGATGACCTTTCCCAGTGAATGTGACTGGGTGCAGCCACCTTTAATACAAGCTGAACAGCAGGTGAAACAGGTTTGTGGAGGAGCAGGTGAAAACGAAACCAGATGAGCGACTTGGAGCAACCAGAAAATGGCCAGTAACCCTTCATTTTTGCATGAAGACATACACTGCACCTTGTACACTGGGAGCCAGTCCTGCTTCCCTGTGGTCACACCTTCTGTAGAGCTTGCTTGGGAAGAGAGGAGTTTCCTGGAATGTCCACTGTGTCAGACAGTGTCCCCTTTGCCAAACCCTGCTGTCCATCTGGCTTTAAAAAACAACGGCAAGTCCTACATGAAGCAGGAAGGTGAGATGATAGCTGCAGAACCAGCTGAAGCTCAGTGTGTCATCTAGACTAACTTCTGTTCTTCTGTGTAGAAGACCAGGAGGCCATCTGTGCAGTCTGTCATACTGTAAAAGAGAAAAATTCAACAAGACATTATTAGTTCCACATTTACATTCCAGTGGAAATACATATGGTAGTTTCCCGGAAGTCATGCATATCTGCCCAGCAGAACTAACTGTAACAGTTAAATCATAACTCTAAACTGTAACACTGAATTTGAAACAGTGAAACAGGCAGTTAAATTTTAACTGTAAAATACAACAGTGACAGTGAAATCATAACAATGAAACTGTAACAGCTAAATTGTAACAGAGAAACTAACTAACTGTAAAATGTAACAGTGAGACCGTCAGGATCGATACCTGTCCTGCCCTGTCCTGTAAGTGTAAGTCATTTCCCCATTTGGCCAGCAGTTCTTGTTTGCCACCCCATTCATTCTCAGCTCCTAGTGTGTTCTCCTTTTCACTGGGCCAACAGTGAGCTAAGCAGGCAGCTGTGTTATCTTAGCTTCCCTTTTGTCATGGGTGAGGGAAATCATAAGTGACAATGTAACAGCTAAATCACAACTAAACTGTAACAGTGAAATAATAATGAATATGTAAATTGTAACTGTAAAATATAACAGTAAAACTGTTAAATTGTAACCGTCAAATACAACAATGAAATTGTAAGTTAAAACATACAGTGGTACCTCAGTTCTCGAACTTAATCCGTTCAGAACTCCAGATCGAATGCAAAAAAGTTCGAGTTCCGATTGTATTTTCCCCATAAGAAATAATGAAAAACCAATTAATTGGTT